CCATTCTGCAACAATAGCTTCGAAAGCATTCCCACTTCCACCCATCTGGCACTCGGATCCCTAACAGTGTCCCAATCAACTACTCCAACTTCGGCTTTTCTGAGAAACACAACTTGTCAACCTGCAAATAGAGGCATTATAACCTTTTTGTCTTTGTCATTAAGATCCCTTAATTTCGAGTGATCCGTTACAATTTCTGAGATTATTTTAAGTTGCATGAAAAACATAATTATTTTTTCTCTTCCCCAAAACCCTTAGCTCCCCCCTTTATCACAATTGATCGAACTTCTATCCTTTTCAATCTAATCTGGTTTTTTGCTTGAAATTATTCCCTTACTTATCCCATCATTGCAATTATTGCCCTTGCTCCATCTTATTCAATAGTCACAAAAGTATCATTGTTTCATCCGCAAACCCTTTACAAGCAAACCAAAAAATAATTGCTAAAATCCATTCCTTTTAAGATCCAATATTTTCTACCTTAACCCCCTCCTTTGATGCATGAAAAGCCATATGCCACAGAGGACAAAACATTGGTTTTAAATTTCCATCTTATTATGTGAGAGATCATCATTAAGCTCAATTTTTTGCTTGTAAAGATCAAATATAGCCAAGTTAGCTCAATTCTTAGATTGCATCTTCCATCAGAAGCCCAAATGAGTTTTTCACCATATAGTTCTCTGGATCTCCATCAGGATCCTAAACAACCAACTGGGTACACCCTCTCATTCAAGGGGTAACACAACACTTGCATAGCACCCCAAGCCCATCAACAACGATCCCCCCCCCCCCCCCCCTATCTATAGGACTGGGTATGATTTACCGAGTCCTGACTCAGATCTCTGAATTCCACGGAACCCTCTTATGCCCCTTTATGTTAAAAATTGATGTATATTGATTGATGTATTGATATTATTACAATGATTCATGATTCCTATATATAGAAGAGTGTGAGTAGTGTAGTAGGTGAGGGTAGGGTGGAGGAGGTGTGGTGAAGAGTAGGTGAAGGTAGGTGAGTGTGTAGTAGGTGGTAGTGGTAGGTGTGTAGTAGGTGATTTAACACCCCCGCAAACTCAAGGGGATAGGAACTAACAAAACTTGAGTTTGAGAAGATTACAAAACAAGAAAATACATAAAAAATAAAAGAACTGTATAGGTCGTGTCAACCATTGGATGAGACTGGATGGTGGTGTCATAACGTTGTAAGGACACTGTTATGAGAGGATTGTCATAACGTTGATATGAGGACACTGTCATGTGTTCCATAACGGTACCATGGTGAGGTCACACTCGTTGACATGCCAGTATGTCAGGACCGAATGTAGAGATAGTTTAGGGGTCATGTCGAACGTTGTAGCAGATAATGTTTTGGACAGTTGTTGTGACAGTTTACAGAGTCTTGCTGGCACCCTTGTAGAAACTAACCGGAATCAATGTCCGGGACAGATTGTACAGATCTTGTCGAACCATAAAGGAGCTAACCGGAATCAATGTCGGACAGTTTACAGAGTCCTTTGTCGGACCCATGAAGGACTAACCGGGATATTCAATTACGGGACATTAACGAGTCTTGTCGGACACAAAATAGCTAACCGGGAAATCAAATGATCGGGACAGTTACAGAAGTTTGTCGGACACATAAAGGAGCGCTAACCGGAATCAATGTCGGGACAGATTACAGAGTCTTGTCGGACCCTAAAAAGTCAGCACCCTCAAAAAGGTTTGTGTCCAATCTTTTCAAAAAGGGTGCATCAAAGGCGTGCCCAATCCATAAAAAGGCGTGCAGAATATGGCCATCAAAAAAGCGTGCCCAATCCATCAAAAAGGTGCCAGATATATGCGATGGCACGTGGTGCCTTGGCATGGGCGCGCCGTTTGTCGCAGTCTGGCATCAAGTGGCGCGCGCATACGCGGTTGGCTGCCTCGGTAATTTAACAAGACGGAGCTGAGGTGAGGCAGAAGCTGACGATAGAAAAACTAAGAGAACCTCTGAAAAAATTCTTCGTTTTGCTGAGAAGATACTCTGAACACCTCTGTTGCCCAGAAAAAATGCGCTTCGTCTTCCCGCGGTCTGCTAACTTTCTTTTCCGACCTCAACGAGTCAAACAAGAGAGATTAACTGGTTGCAGTGGCACTGGAACCTCAAACCAAGCGCCCCGATTTGCTCCGTTTGACTTCTCCATGCGGTCTGTGAGCACAAGAATGCGCAGTGCGTCGGCCATGTGCGAGGCCAATCATTATACATTGAATCATGTGTGAAACCATGATGCGCTTACATTTGCTCGAAACCGGCTGCAGTAGATAGGACAAAATGAAGTATAGTAATAATTGCAGCAGTTAAAACGGGCCCAACAGGCTCTTTGTATCCAAGCGCATGTGAATAAGAAAAATGCGCGAGACAGAGATGAGTGTCCTAAAGGCGGAAAATAAGGAAGTGAGCGGCAAGCACGTTAATGTTCCGATTTGGGGGCCGCCATATGCTGCAGTGGAAAGGAGTATGGGGAGTGAACGTGCTGTGCGGATTAGGAAGCACGGAGACCGACTGGCACGGGAACCCCAGAGAAAGTAAGAAAAGAAACCTGCAGATAGAGTAGAGAAGGGAAAAAAGAAAATCCACTCGGGTGGTTTAGTGTGGTGTTGTGTGGTTTTTGGTTTTTTTTTTTCTTTTTTTGTGGTGTAAATGGTGATCGGGGAGCCCCGACATGAATAAAATGAGTTGGTGCAAGTCCGTTCTTCTTCTTTGGTTTTTTTTTTTTTTTTTTAGTTATTTTATTTTATTTTATTTTTTAAATAATAATAATAATAAAAAATAAAATAAAGTGGTGGAAGCCAGGGGAATCCATGAAGGCTAGTATAATATTTTGTAGTGGGGAAAAGAATGATGGGTATGTGGAGTAGATAATAAAATAAAAGGAGGTTTAAATAAAGTGAGGGATGTGGGCGGTGGATGAACAAACAAATAAATAAATAAAGGAATGAAAAGAAAGAAATAAATAAAGAAAGAAAGAGAGAAATAAATAAAGAAAGAAATAAATAAATAAAGAAAGCAAGTGTAATGTGTGTTGCCCTTTTTTCTCTACTGCTGCAGCAGTGTGTTGATATGTTTTTAGTTTATTTTATGTTGCCTCTGCTGGGTGTGGTTTTTTTTTTTTTTTTTTTTTTTTCACCATTTTTTAAGAATAATAATAATAATAATAATAATAATAAAATGTAGAATAAAAACAAGCGCACATGGGTTGATAGTGTCAATCCATTAACCTGTCAAAAAGTAGAATAAAAACAAGTGCACATGGGTTGAAAAGTGAAAAAAAGAGAGAGAGAACAGCGTGTGTAAATAATAATAGTAATACCCAAACCACGAAGAGCTGTCTTCCAACACCTCCTAGGCCAACATTAATGTCAGAGACAAAACCAAGCCCACAACCTGCTACAAGCAAGATAATATTACTAGTGGGTTGGACCATCTGGAATTGCTCACACCAACGTCAACAAGATCAGCAGTTCTAGCGAAAAAATATTTGAAACCAAGAAGTAGTGTTGCTGCTGATTCTGCTTCTGATGTGCCACTAAAGGACGACGACAGCCTCATGAGCTGCCCTGGTATTTTTTTTTTTTTTTGGAGAGAAAACTCATCTCATAAACTCTCTATGAATCTATCTGAATCAACAGAACCAACAAAGCCCAGAGTACACAGCCAAATTCTACAAAATGGCACAGAGACAAAACACACAGAGAGAGGTATAGATACATGGAACTTGGAACTTTCTCCAGGCAAAATTAAAGGAATCTGGCGGTGTATATAGGGGAAGATGAGTACATGTGGTGGATTTGGGCAATGATGGGAAGGTATGTGTAGAAAATAAGCGGAATAGGTTGAGGTCCGGCGGGTGGCCAAGGCAAGGTTGCCGCCTGCCGGTGAAGCGAGAAATACGAAGGTCTTAAACTTGCTCTGATACCATGTTAAAATTGATGTATTATTGATTGATATAATGTTATATTTATTACAATGATTCATGATTCCTATATATAGAAGAGGGTGAGTGTGTAGTAGGTAAGGAGTAGGTGAAGTGGAGGTGGTAGTGGTGTAGTGGGTTAGGTTTAGTGGAGTAGGTGAGGTGGTAGTGGTGTAGTGGGTTAGGTTTAGTGGAGTAGGTGAGGTGGTAGTGGTGTAGTGGGTTAGGTTTAGTGGAGTAGGTGAGGTGGTAGTGGTGTAGTGGGTTAGGTTTAGTGGAGTAGGTGAGGTGGTAGTGGTGTAGTGGGTTAGGTTTAGTGGAGTAGGTGAGGTGGTAGTGGTGTAGTGGGTTAGGTTTAGTGGAGTAGGTGAGGTGGTAGTGGTGTAGTGGGTTAGGTTTAGTGGAGTAGGTGAGGTGGTAGTGGTGTAGTGGGTTAGGTTTAGTGGAGTAGGTGAGGTGGTAGTGGTGTAGTGGGTTAGGTTTAGTGGAGTAGGTGAGGTGGTAGTGGTGTAGTGGGTTAGGTTTAGTGGAGTAGGTGAGGTGGTAGTGGTGTAGTGGGTTAGGTTTAGTGGAGTAGGTGAGGTGGTAGTGGTGTAGTGGGTTAGGTTTAGTGGAGTAGGTGAGGTGGTAGTGGTGTAGTGGGTTAGGTTTAGTGGAGTAGGTGAGGTGGTAGTGGTGTAGTGGGTTAGGTTTAGTGGAGTAGGTGAGGTGGTAGTGGTGTAGTGGGTTAGGTTTAGTGGAGTAGGTGAGGTGGTAGTGGTGTAGTGGGTTAGGTTTAGTGGAGTAGGTGAGGTGGTAGTGGTGTAGTGGGTTAGGTTTAGTGGAGTAGGTGAGGTGGTAGTGGTGTAGTGGGTTAGGTTTAGTGGAGTAGGTGAGGTGGTAGTGGTGTAGTGGGTTAGGTTTAGTGGAGTAGGTGAGGTGGTAGTGGTGTAGTGGGTTAGGTTTAGTGGAGTAGGTGAGGTGGTAGTGGTGTAGTGGGTTAGGTTTAGTGGAGTAGGTGAGGTGGTAGTGGTGTAGTGGGTTAGGTTTAGTGGAGTAGGTGAGGTGGTAGTGGTGTAGTGGGTTAGGTTTAGTGGAGTAGGTTTAAGTGGGTGAAGTAGGTGGAGAGCAAAAGACATGATCATTGACAATGGCATATACTCTCATACACAGGGTGGTGTTTGTTCAGAAGGGTTGGAATGTATAGTGATTGATGATGCTGGTGGGTTTCAAGGTGCAGTGGATGAAGGAATCTCTGGAGGAATCTTACACTTAATAGAGAAAGGGTGGTAATCTGTCTTTGGGTAGGTTGAGTAGGAGATCTCAGTGGGTGAGTGTAGATGCCTACAAATATACTTTTTCACACGAAAAATGTACCAGATTAGCAATTTCATGCATACCTCAGAGAGAACCTTAATCATCTGATCAACGTACCAAATCTTTTCCGCGGAAAACCTACAGCAGAAAATGAAAATAAAACAGACTAAACTTTAAAAAAAAAAAATTTGCAAGACCGGGGGGGGTGTGGGTGTGGAGGGGGGCAAACCAGGGCACAACGTTCCTACTAAAGTGGGCTCTAAGGAGGGCAATATATGTTCAGTATACTCTAATGACTTATCATCTCAACCAACCATATTGCAATGCCTTAGATTACAATTGATGCTGTTGCCAAAATACATATTTACAAAAACAAACACTCTGCCATTTGTCATAAAGGAAGGGAAGCTAGATCTATAGCAATAATAAGGAAGAGCAAAAGGAAAAGAATATCATCTGAAAAAAGTAAAAGCCAAAAACAATAATCTAAATTCCTACAGAGTATGAAATAGCCTTGTTTGCAGGGTCTTTTGTGTTCAGATGATTGGATAGATACATATTAAGAGTCCATTATATGGCATTTATTCATAACCACTCTGCAAATTCTCAACAAGGAGACTTCAAATTTGAAATTAAATATTTATCTACTTACTTTTCGACAATGGAACAAATTTTGGCTGTAAGATCTCCTTTGAACTCTTGATCACTCACTTCCAGACATTCAATAAGATCTTTTGTCAAAGGCTTTACATTGCTTTCATTCACAAGAAGAAACACAAGTTCGAGGGCCCTTTTACGAATAGTAGCATCCGAATCCTGAAAAATGAATAAGAAAAGGTATGAGCTTTTTGGTTTACCCATAAGAAGATATGCATCCTGTTAATAAGAATACACCAGAGAGAGACAACATATATGTATCAAATTTACAGCCCGAACTCCACATTGGATATCGCTTAAAATCATTAGTTTAACCTTTTTGATTTCTAATGAAATAGCATATAAACAAATGCCAAAATGTTTGCTAAGTTAATGAATTCCCAAAAGCTAAAGTTGTATATCAAGCTATCCAACACGCCACTCGCATGCGACCCCAGCTTGCATGTGGAGAAGAGAACAAACTGAACTGCATAGAGTGCATGATAAAAATAAAATAAAAAGAATACATGAGACTAGAACCCAAGGCCTCTTAGAATCAAAACTTTGATACGATGTTAAAGACCAAAGAGAGAAAAGAAGATGAGGAGAAGCGTATGTAGTACCCTAGGCATTACCCTTTCCTTTTTTCTTTTTTCTTTTTTCTTTTTTCTTTTTTCTTTTTTTATTTTGATTTGCAAAAGTCAATTGTTAGTTATTAGATTAGCTCCTAGGGGGAGTTGAATGCCCAACCTCTCCCTTGCAAGCACCTGAGTGTTGCCTCCAGCTAAAGTTGTTTTCATGGTATTTGAGTGTTTTCATTTTTCTTTATATTTCGTAGGTCCATCCCTGCTTCATTGTCAATGTAATTATGTGTTTATGGGTTGACATGAGGTGTTGTATGAAGATATCCCCAAGTAAATGCAGAAGGAATTTTATTGGTAAAATTTAAATTTTCTTAGTTACTAAATGATTATGTTAATCATGTTTAATCAAAAATTAATTAAGGAATTGAATATATTTAAGTGTAGGTCCCACTAAGTTTAGATATTGTTTGGTTTCAACTTCCACCTTAAATTAATATTAATTGTGTGTGTAAATTTGTAGTCTTTCCAAACATGGCATAAGAGGTGATGAGACAACATTAAGTGACTTAATGAAGCAATTCGTCAAACCTTAACGACTTGGATTAAGCTTCATGGATAAGGTCAAACCACAAGAAGACACCTCATGCTTGGTAGAGTTAGTGGGAAAATCCAACATCCACCATCCACACCTCCTGCTTGAATTCCTCATGCTTGGATTGTAAAGGAAAAAATTGCAGAAGAGAAAA